CAGCGAAGAGTGTACCCGTCTAAGCCATACTCAGGTCTTTTACAGGGCACCTGATCTAACATCCATCTATTTATTAAATTTGATGTAAATCTTGATCTTAGTTGGTAGTGAATGTTACATGCAGGTCTGCTAAGACTTAGTAACATAAAAAAGCCCTTTTTGAATCTGATTAAAATCTAGTTTCTAAAGCTTAGCAGTATAAGCAGAAATAGTCATGAACATGAAATTCATTTATGCAATTTAGACCAGTAGCACAGAGAATCACACAGAATCACAGAATGGTTGTGGTGGGAAGGGACATGTAGAGATCATCTGGTCCAACCCCCCTGCTCTAGCAGGGCCACCTATAGCTGGTTCGCCCAAGACCATGGCCAGACAGCTTTTGAATGTCTCCAGGAATGGAGACTCCACCACCTCTCTGGGCAACCTGTTCCAGTGCTCAATCACTCTCACAGTAAAAAAGTGTTTCCTGATGTTCAGAGGGAACCTCCTGTGTTTCAGTTTGTGCCCATTGCCTCTTGTCCAGTCACTGGGCAACTCTGAAAAGAGCCTGGCTCTGTCTTCCTTGCACCCTCCCTTCAGGTATTTATAGACATTGATAAGATCCCCTCCCGAGCCTTCTGTTCTCCAAGCTGAACAGTCCCAGCTCTCCCAGCCTTTCTTCATAGGAGAAATGCTCCACTGCCTTAATCATCTTTGTCGCCTTTCACTGGACTGTGTCCAGTAAAGCACCTGTCCTTATTGGCTCCTCTGTCACTTGGAAGAGGAAGTTGTCATTGATGGACTCCAGGAACCTCCTGGATTGCTTATGTGCTGCTGTGTTGCCCCTCCAGCAGGTATTGGGGTGTTGGAAGTCCCCTGTGAGGACCAGGGCCTGTGAATGTGAGGCTGTTCCTATCTGTCTGTAGAGGGCCTGATCCACTTGTTCTTCCTAGTCAGGTGGCCTGTAGCAGACACCCACTATATTGTCACCTTGACCTGTCCTCTCTTTAATCCTAACCCATAAACTTTCAGCTGGCTCCTCATCCATCCCCAGACAGAACTCCATGCCGCTCTCTCACGTAAAGGGCAACTCCCCGTCCTCGTCTTCCCTTCCTGTCCTTCCTAATAAGCCTGTATCCCTCCATTGCAACACTCCCGCTATGGGAGCCCCCACCACATCTCCATGATCCCAACAAGATCATAGCCCTGCAATTGCACACAGATCTCTAACTCATCATGTTTATTCCCCATACTGCATGCATTAGTGTACAGGTACTTTAGAGAGGCACCCCAGCATGTTGAGGTTCCGGAGAGGGTTTGGGTGATTTCTCCATAGCGGTGCCTTGTAAAAAAGATGTGCAAGTGCTGGAGGTGACCCATTGTGTTGATTTTTGTGATCTCGTTCTGTCACATCACTCCATGCCCTTTGCTCAGTGATCCTGTCTGTTACTCCCTCACAGGCCTGCTGGTTACTTTCTCCTTCCCCCAGAATGTAGTTAATGTTACGAATCTTCAGATTGGCATAATTGGGGAAATTTTTTGTTACAGATCTTTCCAGTTCCAAGTTTGACTGAACCTTCATAGATCGGACAGGGCTTTTCCAGTGAATTTAAAGTAATTAGAACATAAGTAGAGTGTTAGAAACTGGAATGCAAAATACTGTGTTAGCAGATCAGTGACACGAAAAGTCAGAGGTGCTCCTGAGACTGTTGAAGTATGGGCTCAGCATGCCTACAGTGTGATAGTTTCCATCTGAGACATCGTTTAATTGGAAAAGATACTTTAAAAATTTTGCTACCACACGCTGTAGAACAGCTAAGGGACTTGCTGTATTAGATTACATTGCAAGTTTTTGCTAAATTTCATCAGGTTTTAAGATGGCTAGATTTGTTCTTAAGAGCATAGCAAATGTGTGGCTTTGTTTAAAAATGATGAAGTAAAATACTTTAAATATCAGACATAATAAGCAATTGTAAATGAATTGAAAAACTCTTTTTCTTTATGTCTTCTGTATTTGTAACATATAATGTGAACTTTCTCTTCCAAAGATTCTTTCCTTGGCAGAACAAATTCAGTTCACTGAAGATGTTGAAAGTGCTATCAAAGACCATAATCTGCAACAATTAGAATTAGAACTCATGGCTAAACTGGAACATTATACTAGCATTGATACTAGTATAGAAGATACTGGGAGTACAGGTATAAAAATGATCATTAATATATAATTCTTTATAATGACTATGTAGTTGTATAGTATTTAACATTCTGTTTATTTAAACAGGAAATTATATAAATTTGTCTTGATTTGAGTTCATAAAGGTGAGTTACATAAAGTTAACCACCTATTACTGCCAAGATTAATGTATTTAATATTTCAGAGTGAATGATGGATTTTTATTTACATTAAAAACAATCTTACAGCATTTCTATATTTGCAAACCTCTTTAAAGAATTTTTTAATAACTTCTTATAATTTTTGTTTTATATATTTACTGATAGTTTGTCCTCACCTATTGAACTGTGCTGTAGTGTTATGTTTTGCTAGAACTGGCCAAACAGCAGTTGAGGTACATTATGTCATGCCAGTATGTTCTGTATAACTGTGTAGGTGATTCTCTTTTTCTATCTTAGATGTATACATCTGCATCTGAACTAATAATTCTTCAGTATCTCTGTAGCAAAACCAATAAACTAGTTATTCGCAAGGCACGATTGTTCTGAATCTTATATAGTCCAAATGCATTAAAACAATTATGCCTTTGAGTGCTTATTCCTCTCTTTTGACTAGGGGCTTTGAATGACTACCTCAGATGTGAAATTCTATAGTGTAGGTTAGTTGAGATGGCTCTTACCCTATACATATAAAAAGACTCAATTTGACATGTAGTTGACAATCTTCCACCACATTTGTATAGCTGCTTACTGTATTAAATTCTAGTTTAGAATTTATGAACTGTTAACATCTCATACATTAATTAGGAATAGAATTCATATCACTTGCCTTCTGTAAGTCTCTAAGTGTGGTCCTTTTTCTAAGCTCCCTTTCTGTGCTCTTTCTATAGCCATGGGAGAATTGTCATCAGTTATAGAAGAGTGTTCATTCCATCTGTTGTATAATACATTTACAGTAACCTTTTAGTTTGGATAATAGGTGTGATTTTGAAGTGAGTTGCCTGATTATCCCCACTTACTTGGTTTAATTCCCATCATGGAATGGTATAGGAGCACGCAAACTAGATTTCTTTCAAATGAAACTAAATAAACAGTATTTCTCAGAGTACACTTAATGCACACAGTCTGCTAATGAACATTCATTCCACATCACCCTAATTAGTCTGAGTAAAATCTCCAGTGCGTGTGTAGTATGGTTTTCAGATCCTCTTCAGGTCAATTAACCAATTGTGCCACACTGATTACTAGAGTGGACATAGCTGTAAACACTCCTGGAATAAATAGCTTTCCAGAAAAGCCTGTGTGTCTCTCTATTGAGGGTAGAGGCAGACAAAATCACTTGTAAATGGCTGAAGTTACGTAATGATTCACATTCTCTGTCAGGATCTCATTTTATACTACTTGCTTTAGGTAATAAATAATATTTCTATATATAATTGAAATGAGATTTGAATAAAATCTGCTGATAATGGAAAGAAGCACAATGAACTTGAGAATGGGTAACGTGTATCTTCCTTACTACACTGTTGTGATTTTTTTTTTTTTGTGGTTATTTGCAGAATCAGCAATCCTTGAGCTCAAGCTTAAAGCTCTGATTCTTGATATCATTCATAACATTGATGTGGTGAAGCAGCTGAATCAAGCTGAGGTTCACAATGTTGAAGACTGGGCTTGGAAGAAGCAGCTGAGATTTTATATGAAAGACCAAAAATGTTATGTTCAGATGGTAGATGCTGAACTGCAATATACTTATGAATATCAGGTGTGGTATTTTTAATTTTTGCCTGGTGGCTTTTATAAATGTGTCAAACACATTCTCATTTCACACATGCTGCTGGTTGTCTCCCAACTGTTGCCTTTTTTTTCAACTTTGTTGTGTCATTAGCATGCTGTTTCACAGAAAATACTAAGAGATAGGCTAATCATTTTCATTCTTGATAATGATGGGGTAAATGTAAGTTGTATGGAAAGCAGCTGCAGTATCATATAAATATTTTCTAATATGCTTGCTACTTTTATATATCAGAGTGCAATTTAATCTGTGTTGACCCCTTTTTCATTCTAAAAAAAATTTGCGCAATGCTTTGACATTTAATATAAAATCAGGAAAACTTCGTAACTGTAAACAAATTCATATACTTAACGAGACAGTAATCTTGACCGTTGTGTTATGTTTTCAAATCAATGATTTATGTATGAAAATAATCGAATTACATCACCAGTAATTTCTGTCTACCAATTAATATAATTTGTTTTGTTTCTGCAGGGTAATTCCCCTAAACTTGTTTATACACCTTTGACAGATAAATGTTACCTAACTCTTACTCAGGCTATGAAGATGGGCCTTGGAGGAAATCCCTATGGTCCAGCTGGAACTGGAAAGACAGAATCAGTAAAGGCCTTGGGTGGACTTCTTGGAAGACAAGTATTAGTCTTTAATTGTGATGAGGTGAATATGGTTCTGTACAATTTAGGAAATGGATATCTATGCCCATACTTCATAAAGCAATATTACATTCTAGAAATACTTTTGGTAATTTGTCAGTTTCCATTAGAAATGTGTGGATATTTCCACATTTTTTAATAGATGGAAAGTCCGTCTTTCATTACTTTCTTGTTATTTGAATTTTAATAGTATTCTTTTTAATTTTAAGGGCATTGATGTGAAGTCGATGGGGCGCATATTTGTGGGCTTAGTGCAGTGTGGTGCCTGGGGCTGTTTTGATGAATTCAATAGACTTGAGGAAGCTGTATTGTCTGCAGTATCCATGCAGATTCAGACAATTCAACATGCATTGAAGAAACATAGTCCTGTATGTGAGATGCTTGGCAAAAAGGTACAGCAAAATTTCCTTATTTTCTTCTTGTAAAAATAGTCTATAAACAACTGGGACAAACTTAAGAACTGACTACTTCAACTAAACATAGTCTACCCAACATTTCTCAATACTGTTTCATATGACAATATACTATTACAATGTATTTCTAATGCTAGGTTGAAATGGATCATAATTCTGGAATTTTTATCACTCTGAATCCTGCTGGAAAGGGTTATGGAGGAAGACAAAAACTGCCTGATAACCTCAAACAACTTTTTAGGCCAGTTGCTATGACTCATCCAGACAATGAAGTCATTGCAGAAGTGATTTTGTATTCAGAAGGCTTTAAGGATGCTAAAATACTTGGTAGAAAATTAGTGTCTATTTTTAATCTAGCAAGGTAAGGTGTGTTGTTTTTTTTTTCCTCCTTGGTCATATTACCTTTCTAATTCTCTTCCCTCCTGCTTTTATTTTAGCATTGATCCTTGTGGTTATCTCACTGCCATCTTGTTTCTTCTCCATCTACTCTATGCCAAAGCATGACTGTAGGGATACAATCTACACATGCTTTCTGTTAATTTTCTGTAATATTTTATGACTTGGATATTGCAGAAAGCTATGTGTCAGAAACAAAACTAGACATAAAACTGCAGGTTTGGAGTCATCTGAAGTTTTACATTCAATAGAGCTCTTAAATCTGAATGGTATACCATGCATCTCTGTAGCTACTAACTTAACTTATAAAATAAAAATATTGCAATATATTGGGAGGTTCAGGTGAGAAAACATCTGGAATGCAGTTACAATATCAAGGTGGCAAAGTACTGTTCCCCTGTTACGCTCACTAAGCATGAATGTGAGTGTATGAATGCTCACAAGCATTGTGCTGAATTTAGACTCTTGAAGTTGTTGAAATTCAAGAGACTATTTGGTTATAAGTATGCATATTAGAGAGAACAAAGTTCAGAGGTTTTAATTAATGCCGTTAGGGACAATAATAAATACATTAGCTGTTGAATATATTCCCTCTGAAAATTTCCGAGCGTCATTGCTTATATCTCTGAAATGCATTACAGATAGTGCTACAAATACTCATCAGTTTCTCTTTTGCCCAAAACCATATTATGAGCATCTTCATTCACCAAACAAAAATTCCAGGTGCTGTCACCTAAATCTTATTACAATATTGCTGTTTTTAAATTTAGGGAACTTCTGACACCACAGCAGCACTATGATTGGGGTTTACGAGCATTGAAGACTGTTTTGAGAGGCTGTGGCAGTCTTCTTCATCAGCTGAAGAAAAGTGAAGCAAAGCAAGAAAGTAAGATTGACCATGCCAAACTTTTGATTATTTAGGATGTTGTACAGATATCATTCGCTACAGCTTTCTTGTTCACTGGAGTTTTGAGAAGCCATGGCTTGGATCTGGAGGCAATTTAGAAAACAAAAAAACATCTGTGAAAGTCCTCCTTCATTAGGAGATTACAAAAGACTGTTGTCATATTCTAGATAGAGCTTTTATATGATAAGAATATATATATATAAAATATAGGACTTTATTCTGGGATGATTTTGAGTTATTCTCAAAGACTCTTGTTTTCACTTGCTTAGGTCAGGACAGTTGATCCTCTGATGCTGTCATTCATCAGTCATCAGATCATTTTGATTCTATTTGAGGATTGCTAAAATTGTCACATGGCATTCGATTCAGATTGGTAGACAGAGACAAATATAAGGACAGGTAGAAATGATAGAAATGGATTGGACTAGACTGGGTCACTGTATTTTTTTTTTAAGAATTTTTAAATGATTTTTTGTTGTTGTTTAGATGTTAAATGAGTGGGAATTAAGAGTGTGGGATGGATAAACATTTGACATCTTTAGGACATAACTACTGCTTCTTGTTCACTTAAACAGCATATATCTGGCCAGACTATATTGAAAGTTTTTAGAGACAGCCTTGCTTTACAAATCTTGGCATAACAAATGGTCTGACAACTTTAAAGAATTTGTAATTGACTTTAGTTTGGATCTGCCAAAGAAAGATGACCAGCAATGTGTTTTAGGGCACATTCCTATCACTGTTCCTTGCTATGACGTTTTAGCTTCACGTTTAGATATGTGAAATTTGCTGAAATTTCTTGGGCTGGTTTAAATTATAATTTTCGATAACCCTGTGAAAGGCAAGATGGATGGATTTAGCTTATGATTTAGAGCCGGAAATGTTTCTTTCAGTTGCTTTTTGTTTGTTTGTTTTTTATCTCTAGCTTGAGAAGCTTAAGATATTTCCAACAAATGCGGTTTCCTGTTTCTTTATGTTTGCTTGTATTGTTGAGTCAAAATCCTTTGGCATGTCAAAATGTTGGCTATGTTCTTAAATGTTGCATAAATTTTGTATTACTTCCTTTAGTAAAGCAGTTCAACCTTTCTAAATCAAGTTCCTTAATGTCAACATTTTTCCTCTTAACCGTTTATCATGCTATTTAGAAAATTTACCTATAGAAGCATTTGCATTTAAGACATTGTTCAGGATGAAAAATCCTGAACTTTTTCCAAATTCTAGAAGGGTATAGTAATCCTTAACCTCTGGAACGTTTGGGAAAAAGCTGCAGGAAAAACGGAAGTTTGGGAATGGGCACTTTCTGTCCCTTGTGTTGAATTTGGGCTATAGTGCATTCTGGTTTGGGGCAATCATGCATCCAGAAAGAGGGCAGAAACACAGGATGATTTTTACCTGTGGTTCCTAGTCCTGCTGTGTGCAAATGTACGTGTTTTACATGAGAAAGTAATTTGATTAAAAAAGCAAAAAAGACAGAGATCAGAGCCCTGTGCCTTTCCCATCGTGAGTATCTTTATTTTTCTGGCAGAGTAGAGCTTTCTTTGGCTGTTTTCGCTCTGGTTCCAAAACACTTACATTTCCATGGTACTTCATATTCAAGAGGAATTGTGGAGAGTGTTCGCTTCTGGAATATTCATAGTTAATTAGGACGCACTTGAGAGATGTGACTTCAAACTGCCTCTGGCAGAGTAAGGTCTAGAATCCAGGTCCTTAATTTCTTTCATGAGTACTTTAACAAGTAAGCTATTGTGCACTGCTAATCTTTAATCATTAGGCTGCACTTTAATCATTAGGCTATTATGTACTATCTGGGCAGCAATCATAACCATCTCATATGTGTATAGAATGCATTTGTGAGCATATATGGTACTTACAGTAAAGCACTCATCTAACTTCCAAGTAAAGTGGTACATGAACTGGAATGTAGTCTGTGCTGTGATTCCACCTTCAATGTCTTAGCAGTATGGGCTCAAGTGCTGATATATTCCAACGAAAAAAAAACCAACAAACAACTTAAACTGGTCTGGCTTCTTTGCTTTTATTTCCAGTTAATGAAAGTCACATAGTGGTTCAAGCTCTGCGGCTTAATACCATGTCAAAGCTTACATTTGCAGACTGTGCACGATTTGATGCACTGGTTAAAGATGTATTTCCTGGCATTGACTTTAAAGATGTGGAGTATGCTGAGTTAACTACAGCTTTACAACAAGTCTTTGAAGAAGCAAACTTGGAAATTATAAGCACACAGGTAAACATCAACTACAGCAACAAAACAATATGAGTTATTCTGAATTAGAACCAATTAATACTACATTCATTTGACTCATTTCTGTTTACTTTTGAAAGAAAACTTTTATAAAAAAGTGAGAATAACTAATAGTTAGATTCTAATTACATGTATATGAAAAATAGATGTGTGTGTTTTAAGCATGGTAGATCGGTTGTAATTGAAAGAAAAATAGTGCAAGGAAAATTAAGATGTGAACATGTGACACACAGTTTTGTTCAAGCCGTATACAAACTCCAATGAATGTTTTGGACAGTTAAAGAATTAAATATGTGAACATTTGGTTTTATCAAGCAGTTCTGTGTCTCATTTGTATTTATTTATTGTAGGGCTGGATGAAGTTTTGTGACTAAAGGTTCCTTAATTTCTCAGTAAAAATATGCCCCAAGAGGGCTGATATTTTTATATTAGTAATTTAGTGCAATGCTTCTAACATGCAAAATAAGTTTCTTGATATTCTTTAATATCATAATTTTAATTACTTCTGCGAATACCTGCTGTTTCGAAAAATAAAATTATAGAAACAAAGTGATGGCATGCAAAGTAAATTGGAAAAACATTAAAAAAGAACATGATTGATTTAGCTTTACAACTTCACATAGCCGTTATCTCTTTTATTATCTAGATCAAGAAGGCTTTGGAATTATATGAACAACTACGTCAAAGAATGGGTGTAGTTATTGTAGGTCCAAGTGGTGCAGGTAAATCAACACTTTGGCGGATGTTAAAGACAGCACTTGGTAAAACCGGCAAAGTAGTGAAACAGTATACTATGAATCCCAAAGCTATGGCTCGACATCAGTTGCTAGGCCATATTGACATGGATACCAGAGAATGGTCTGATGGTGTGCTTACAAATAGTGCTCGACAAGTGGTACGAGAACCCCGAGGTATGTTTGTGAGGGAGTTAAACTTCATTATGCTTAAATTACTGAAATTGTTTATTTTCAGTTACGTTTTTATATTATGTTATTATTTGTGCATAGCATAAGGTAAGAAAAACTTTTGGTGACAATCATAGTCAAAACCACTTATACGTACTTTCCAAATTTTATGATAAGAAAGCAAAAATAGACATCAGAAGATAAAATGTGTAAGGAATATCTTGAAAGAATTTCTATTTAAGTTACAATGAAGGAAAAGTAATAAATAGTATTGAAATAGCAAGGGTTGATATTCTTTAAAAGTTTTTCTTGGGTTTGATACTTTATTTTTGTGTTGTAAAGATACTACTTCATGGATAATTTGTGATGGTGATATTGATCCTGAATGGATTGAATCTTTGAATTCCGTTTTGGATGACAACAGATTGTTGACTATGCCCAGTGGAGAAAGAATTCAGTTTGGCTCAAATGTCAACTTTATATTTGAAACTCATGACCTTAGCTGTGCCTCTCCTGCTACAATATCTCGAATGGGAATGATCTTTCTGAGGTAAGTCACAGGAGTGTTACATACTTTTAAAGAAAGCAAATACATCTACTTTACTTTTCTTGAAAGATAGTCTAAAGTGGATGGAGTGATTTAATTACTTGCTTACAGTTATGAAGCAAATCACTGGGGGAGTTTGCTTTAGGCTGCATGTCCCTTCTACACTGTCCTGTTAAAACCTTTTGGCTAATATATCTCAGACTTTTTGAAAGAGACATGGTGGATTCTTTGTTTGTGTGACCCTTAGAGAGCCCAAATATTGGTTAGAAGTTCTTGTTAAAGTCTTTCCCTGAACTTTTCCTAGAATTTTTTTGTTCCCTTTGAACCAGTCTATGTGAAGATGTGGATGCCTTGTATTTGTTTGAATCTTGTTTTGTTTTGCTTTGACTTAGTGATGAAGATACAGATCTTAATTCTCTGATAAAGTCTTGGCTAAGAAGTCAGCCGGAAGAATGCAGATACAACCTTGAAAATTGGATTGGGGACTATTTTGAAAAGGCTTTAAACTGGGTTGTGAAGAAGGTTAGTAACTGAATACTTAATCAATTTTCAGCTTCTATTAACATGATCCATTTATCTAGTTTAACACTGAAGAGATCATTCATATTAGTTTTTAAATTTTAAGTAAAAAAAATCTCAGTGCTTTTTTGATTGCTGTTTTCTTCATAAGGTTAATACTGGAACCATTCTAATCAGTTTCCAAAAACTAATTGCTGTACTTAAAGTTTTGTAACATTTAATACAATTTTAACTAGTTAAAGCCATGTATTTCTGTGAAACTTAGTATCTGTCTTTAATTTTCCATACCGGATGTTTCTTTGTATGTTTTCAAAGACCTGAAAGATCTGAATGTTTAAACTAAAAAATGAGGAAGTGAAGAAATTGTTTTTCTAGATTTAAGTTATTGACTATAACAAAAAAAAAAGCTAAAGTTTGAAAAGTTGCGTGGAACTTGTAATAGGTTGGGGAGAAATGTAATGCTAGACACCTAAAAAGATTGATAGAGGCATATCTAAAAAAATAGTCTGATTGTTCAGAATGGTAATTTTTCACAGCTTCCACTAATCTGTCCTGGATTTAAGTATATAACTTTAGCTCTTTAAGATTCAACTCAAAACCTTAACTGAAAGATATTTAAATAGGCAAAAGGTAATATGTAATAATAGTATTACAAAAGGATAGCCCAAAACCTTGTACATTATCTGGATTCTGTGATTCTGGGACGTACATCAAGATAATTTTTCTGCATATGCTATATTTTCTTAAGTAGTCTGGATGCTTCCCTGCCTCCCCTTCTTCTGAAGGAGTTGCATATGCATTGAACAAGTGGCTTATGTTGCACAAAACATTATTTAGCAGAAATCCCCACTGCTGTGGCCAGTAAGCTAGTGTTTGGGAGACCTGCATTACTGCCCCTTGGGGAACACATATGGTCCTGTTGTGTTTTTAATATTATTTGCCTTCTTGCTTCTTTCACCCATGGAGATTTTTAGACTTTTAAAGTATCTTCAGGTGGATACAGAGGAAAAATCATGACACTGCTCCTGAGGCTGCTCCTTTGGTGCTAAAGAGCAAAATCCATGAAGAATCCATTCAAGAAAAAGATTTCCAGTATAGAGTTATATTGATTTCTTATAGATTCTCAAAATCTGTAAGGAAAGTTCTGATGGCTTATCCTAAATTACATCAGTACATAGTCTGGAATTAAAACTTCCAAATCAATGCTCAAAAATAATTTCACATCAGGTGAATTTTCTAGAACAGCAGCAGTGCTGAGAAGTTTCATAATTTGTGGAAGGGTCAGAGAGCAATGAGTAATAGTCTGCTAGCAATACATCACATTTATTTTTAGGAATATATTTAAATCTACTACAACTTGCAATTTACAGAATGACTCTGTGGTAGAAACAAGTTTAGTTGGAACTGTGATGAATGGACTGTCTCATCTTCATGGATGTACTGATCGTGGACAGTTTATTATTAACTTGTTACGGGGTCTTGGTGGCAATCTGAACATGAAATCACGACAAGAATTTGCAAAAGAGGTAATAAACTTTTTCAGCAAGTTTATTAAAAATTTCTCAGTATATGTAGTGGGAATAGTGATTTTCCGTCTTCTAACAATGGAAATTTACAATAATAGAATATCTGTGCTCTAATTTGTTTGCAATCTGTGTTGTCTATAGGGAAATAGCTCAGAAGTAAAGGAATGTTTCGTATGTCAGTGATATGCTGTTAAGTGCATCCAGACCAGATAGCAATCTTGGTGCTGCACCAAGAGATACAGAATGGCCTCCGTCCGTACTGTTTTGTGCAAGGACCCACTATAGCGGGCTCTGTGTATGTGTATATGTATTGTGTATATGTAATACAGATTAATTTTTGTGGTTTTTTTTTCTGCTCAGAATGCTTGAAATAATAATGTGGGGGCTTTATTGCACCGCAGGAGGGAGGGGGGCTTTATTGCACTGCACCAGGGAGGTGTTCTTACAGCATTATTTTGAGGTTATGTATTGTATGCACTGGGGTATGGTTCTGTCTTTGTGTAGATACTTGAGGGCACAAGGACTAGGGAGTAGTGTTGGAAAACTATGTGGGTATACTGGTCTATAGTGTCTACAGAAGGCTGTCCCTGGAGATAGTTATCTCCACAATCGCGCTTGGGTTTTGTGTGGGAGAGAAGGAAATAGTTCCTTCCGAAAGAAAGCCTGGAGCTATAACATATATAGAGGGCCGATGGTAAAGGTTTAGACTCAGCTTCTGGAATTAGGTATTGATGCATGTGAAGGAGTTACCTTGTTCTTACGATTATTGTTATGTATGTTGCCTAATATGAAAAAAAGTTTATATAAAGCTTTGCTAAATACAGTTTATTTCATGTTCTTTATATTATGAAAGTAATATGTGGAAGAGTAGTATCTTACTGTTCAGTTAAGGACTTAATCACAAAGCATATGCGTAACATGATTGAATTTTCAAAGGCAGCCTTAAAATTATCAAATCAAAGAATTAAATGTTTGATTTTACAGAAGTATTCTTTGAACATTCTTTAGATTAACTTGAAATTGTAGATCTTGTCATTAGGAGTGGATTTAACACAAGCTTTATTTTTTTTTTTTTAAAGATCTTCAGTTGGGCACAAGAATCTCCACCAGATCCGAGGAAGCCCCTGGACACATACTATGACACTGACACTGGACAGCTAATGCTATATCAGATGAAAAAACCTGAAAATCTAACAGCTGATGACTTCAGTAATCTCCAAACACTTCCCGTCATCCAAACCCCTGACATGCAGAGAGGTTTAGATTACTTTAGACCCTGGCTAGACTTTAACAATAAGCAGCCATTTCTTCTTGTGGGTCCTGAAGGATGTGGAAAGGGGTAAAAAGTATTTCCCGTTTTAAGCAAAATATACTTCTAGCTATTTGACAAAGCTTGTAATATTTTGTTATAATGGTTTTATCATATGACTTTCTGCTAGAATATCACTTGTTTAGGTTACTAATGAAACAAACCTGTAGTGGCAAATAGGTAAATTCTTAAGAAGATCTACGGGGAAAATTCAGGCTGCCACTCTGTGTCTAAGACATCTGAATGAGGTTTTTAGATATGAAACAGGACCTTTGGAAAACCTGTGCTGTCATGGAGCAACAGCTGAAAGGCACATGAGGAATCCGGTCTCATCTCAAGAGGCACTAGATGCCTGTGTGCAGGAAATTGGATTTAGCTCATCCTGTTGCCTATCTTAAGTTCCTTATTTAGATGGGTTGGAGTTCCTTATTTAGATGGGTTGGATCAATATATACAAGGTATTTAGGCTAGGTATTTGTTTTGTCTAGCTGTATACTACACTTTCATTGAATTTCTTGAATGGAAAATATTACTATCATCAAGGCAAGAATGTTTAATTCAGCAAACCTCATGCATCACCTATTACATTAATACAGTATGTAGTATATGCATTTTAATTCAAAAACTATACAATATCTTTGGATACGCAGTATTTTAATGCATTTATGTATTACTTATGCTTATATGTACACATTTGCTTTTTTAGCATGCTGCTTCATTATGCATTTTCTCAACTCCGATCCACTCAGATTGCTACCATTCACTGCAGTGCACAAACTACCTCTCAACATCTTCTACAAAAATTGAGTCAAACTTGCATCATAATCAGTACAAACACTGGGCGAGTATACAGACCAAAGGACTGTGAAAGGCTTGTTTTGTACTTAAAGGATATCAATCTACCCAAACCTGATAAATGGGGAACAAGCACACTTGTGGCTTTTCTACAGCAGGTGAACACTTATTTCTGTTATTTACAAAGAGACTTCAGTATACTGGAAATATATGGAAATAGTTCTGTGTATGTAGTAAATACCTACACTGTGTATGTAGTAAATACCTACATTGATTATTTTCAGAGTTAACATCCTGCATTTGTGTTGACATTAGTTTTGTTTCTACTTTGATAGAATATCTATCACTCTTGAGGAAGAGTGGCTGGAAAGGTGCCCAGAGGAAAAGGACCTGGGGGTGCTGGTTGACAGCCGGCTGAACATGAGCCGGCAGTGTGCCCAGGTGGCCAAGGAGGCCAACAGCATCCTGGCCTGTATCAGAAATAGTGTGGCCAGCAGGAGTAGGGAAGTGATCGTGCCCCTGTACTCGTGCCCAGGGAAGTGGTGGAGTCACCATCCCTGGAAGTATTTAAAAGACGTGTAGATGAGGTGCTTAGGGACATGGTTTAGTGGGCATGGTGGTGTTGGGTTGACAGTTGGACTTGATGATCTTAGAGGTCCTTTCCAACCTTAATGATTCTATGATTCTATGATTCTATGTAGGTGTCAGCCAGAAATAAGATACCATTTTTATTTGGCTTATATGCATAAGTAAATAAAGACAGTGCTCATCTCAATGAGTTGTAACTCAGTAGGCATATGAATGACAAGAAAATCATCAGGAGTAATCAGCATGGATTCAGCAAGGGCAAGTCATCCTTGACCAACTTCTATGGTGAAACGACGGACCCGGTAGACAAGGGAAGAGCATATTTTGTATGAGGTTCAACAAGGCCAAGTGCCGGTCCTGCACTTTGGCCACAACAGCCCCATGCCACGCTATAGGCTTGGGGAGAAGTGGCTGGAAAGCTGCCCAGAGGAAAAGGACCTGGGGGTGCTGGTTGACAGCCGGCTGAA